GCCAGCCCGCTCAGAGATGTGTATAAGAGACAGCCCCTAGATATACATTTTCATAAAATTTGCATCGTTTTTCGAGTTCGGATCCGCCACTTTGAATTTTAGAAATCTGGCCACGGATTTGTAATCAGCGACCTCAAAAACCCTTGAGGGAAGATCTTTGCGTGGAAACTCTGAGAACTTTCGGAGATAATGAATTTTCTTTAGAAAACTTGCCATTTTTCAACGTTTGTTTATTTGTATAAACAAAATCATCCATGATTTCGAATTATTACACATCAATTCTTATTCTTGAATGTATAACTGATACCAAATCACAAAAAAAGATTCGAAAATTGAGTGAAAACTACCCCAATTATTGAAAAAATAGTTATGGAAAAGATGGCATTCCACAATGCCAACGTGCTTGAAAGGGTTAAGATCCAAATGACTTGGAACTTTATCTTGAATATATTTCAAAATAAATCAAAGTCACTAGTAAGATGATTTTCTCTATTTTTCTATTAATATCTATTAATCTTCTAGCAATCTCTTCTATTAATCTATTAATCTTCTAGCAAATTTAAATTAATATGTATTCAATATTCACTCTTTCTTTATAACTTATCTCTATAACATATTTGAAGATAAATAATTGCACATCAAATTTTACAAATTTTATTAAAATATTTTTATTTAAAAACTCATACCTTCAGATTTGGTATAACATTTTAATTTTTAAAAATAAATTTCTGTTTAAAATCAATATATGAATTGTTCATTTAATATGAACTTATAAAGTAAAATTATTTATATTTATAACATACATCTCTAGTTAAACTATAGAGGCAACTTGCTTTAATTGAAAGTCTGATTTCAAACGATCCAATCGTATTTCTGCTAACTGTGCAATCTGATTCCCGTCTACTGTTCCTTGTTTTTCTCGTAGAGATTCCATTATTTTTCTGACGCACTCATGAAAAGTTAACTGATTCCCATAAGTTTTAAAGATTTTACAAAGTTCTTGTATGAACCACGAACCTGAATAAATAATAGAATATAAAATCATTAGAATATAATTCAAATTTTTATCATATACACACTTCTCTAAATTTTTTCTTTATATAATTCAACATTATTGTGTAATTAGATGTCTATATTCCTTGTTGATCAAGATCTAATCATTAATTATAACTAGTAATTAGAAATATAGTTACAATTTAAGTCAAATAAAAAATTTCTATTCAAAAATCGATAGAAAACGGTAGAAACCAATAGGATCTAAAAAAAATTTATCGTGTCCTATTGTAATCTATCGTTCCACTTTTTCTATCTCGAAAGAAAATGTTACCGTTTCCTATCATTATCTGATAAAAGCGATTTGAATCGTTGAAATATCGATAGAATTTCTATATATAGTCACTTATTGTTTTATATTTTAATGAAGTTTATCATCAATAAATGATTAAAATATTGTCGTGATGAATTGTTTATTCATAATTTTTTACGGTTTATAACTACGATTAAACAATTAGATAAAAACAATTATATCATTTTCTATCGATTTTTTTTTACAGAGATGTAAAATACATATAGCTTATTATTACGTACCTTGTTCTTTATGACGTATTGATAAAAAACCTTGTATTGTCGACATAAACATAAAAAAGTTTGTAAATTGACGTATATCTTCCACAGGTGTAAAAGAATCATATGAACCATCTACAGTCAAAGAATTACTTATAGTTCCTAGAAGTAAAATCTGTTCTAAATATATCTTAAATTTACACATACAAGAGAAAAATAAATTTTTTATATACTGAAACATATCTAGTAAGTATAAACTACAGTATATTAAAGAAAATTTTAACAGTTTTTGCATCTTTCAAAATTATAAAAAACATCAATATTCTTTATGTAAAAATATTTAAGAGGATGCTAAAGCCGTCTGTTTTATCGATAAAAATACCATTTTTGTTGGATACAAAATACTTTGTATTAATCCTGTCTCTTATACACATCTCTG